CGTATTTCCTTTTTTTTAAGGCTGAGGGGGTCGGACGACCCTCCCCTGAGTTCTTTGTGCTTGTCAGTAGCGACAGGATTTCCAAGATTAGTGTATATGACGGTTGTAAACTCTGCTATTTTTTTGTTTCAGTTGGGGCTAACGGGTTGAGGGGCGTAGCTGTGAAGCACCAAGCAGACAAAGCACCGAAACATGGAAAACTCGCCGACAGCGGTCTCGGATTCTTGTTACATACATGCGGTTCAGGTTTCGGGCTGCAGCAACTCTCTGATGTTGCTCTGGCTGCATCTGTGCAAGCCAGCTGCACTTAAGCCTTAAGCACGCAGCTTCCGGATCCTTGGCGTGTTTCTCAGATATCTTCCAGTTTGCCCACCGCCCGAATGACGGGAAGGAGATCTGCAAAATTCCTGGCAGAGAGATGTTGACGAGTGTGCAAGATGCCAGCAGGAAGGAAACTGAAGAAGCAGAGGCACACTGTGCCGACTGACAGCAAGCATGACGGCTCCGGAAACTCTGCAGCAATAACATCTGTCTGCAAGCGTCGGTTTCCGGCTCCATCGAATGGCTGCAGGCATGCAGGACCTCTCATGAGACTCATCGGCGCGACCCTCTGGAAGGTTGCCGTCTGCGGCATATTCTGCAGTCGGTTCCGGGCCTGCCTTTCAGCTGCAGCCGCCGCTTGGCCTCCAAGGATTCCCAGTCGCCGCTCAGGAGACGCCTCAGTCAAAGCACGCTTTCAGCAGTTTCCTCCTGCCTTTCTGCTACAAATACAGTCGTGTTTTCGGCCAGGAACTCCGCCAAGTACCGATCCTTCACAGCGATCTCCACAATAAGGGCCTGGCCACTGCTCCTGGCTTTGGGCGGAATTTGGTCACAGCTGTTCCTCCTTTCTGCAGTCTCGGACGCGGAGCCTCAGAGCTTCGGGGCCAGCAAGACTTTCCTGCGCTGAAGCTGCCGTGCACTGATGGCTCATGGCAGTGCCGCACCTTCCTGGCCTGGCTTGCCGGAGCGGGTGCCTCAGCGGCGCCCTCACCGCGGCAGAACACCAGACGCCCGGAATTGAAGCAACCTGTCAAGGCGAGCCCTCAGAGAAAGCAGTGCTGTTGAAGAAGCACAACAACCTCTGGGCACTGCCGATTGAGCCGCATGCAGCAGTGCCAGCAGCAGCCGCCATGTGCACATGCATTGGGGACGGGATGGAACAATCTCAAGCAAGTCATGGCAAGTGCACAGAGAAAGGTTCCGAGGAGTTGCTGTGCTCACCTGAAGTATTTTATCAACCTGTATTGGGGCTCCAAGGATGCTCATCAGTGCCTGAAACCTTCCGCCAAATCCCCACAGTTTGTCGCAGTAACTGGCAAGAAACAGGAGCCGCAGATGCTGCAGAACCGTCTTCATGGCAACCTGCTCTCCGCTCCACAAAACAATCTCCGAGTCTGAAGCTCGTTACCAGCTTCAGGATGTGGCAGGTGACCTCCACCACCAGCTCGCGCACTTGGCTCGAATCGTGGCCGAGAGCTGCCGAGAGCGACTCGAAGGCCTGATCTCAGCTTTCGCAGCAGCGGGGCCACATGCAGCTGCTGAATCTCAGCGGACTCACTCTACCCCTCACCCGGGCCTGAGGATCACCTGACAATGCATGCTGGACATGGTGCAGGCTTTGTCAACTTGCTGCCACTCTGCTGAACTTTGTGGTGCTGGCAGCCTCGCTATAGGAAAGTATATGCAAAATGCTGCACAGCGTGGTCTACACTTAGAGTCTACACCTCGCCTGCCTGCCTAGGCCTAGGCGTCCTGAAAAGTAGGACGCCAACTCGCGCACTCCGAAGCACCGATTCGCACACTGAGCGGCGAATTCGTACACGAGTGCGTTGGACGGCTGATTCGCACGCTGACACAATGGATTCGGGCAGGACGCCGTGTTATTCGCGCACCCGGCACATACCCTAAAATTTGCACTGTATATGAACCTCAAGAATCTGGAGCCACAAAAACACCCTAAACCGTAAAGACATTCCGGAAACATCCGGTCCAAAACCATAACCGGAGGAAGCTGCACCGCAACACACAGCCAAGTGAACTTCACGAGACCTACACCCTGTACCCAAACCCCTTGTTTGTGCGCCCCGTGGCAGGTAAACCCCAAACACCCTTAACCTTCACCCTTAAATCAAGTTCAAAACCCACTATACCCTGCAAGGCTTAAACTTAAGCCCTACCAGCCCACACGCGAAAATCGCCTAGCACGACTAAGTGTTTCTTGCATCTGGGCTGTAGCAACTCAACAATAAATAATCGTAAACCGTCGTAAACCCAAACGACGAAAGCCCCTCAACACTTCACAACAACCCTTGTTTGAACCCGGAGCTGGTACTCGAAATGTAGAACCGCGCCAAACGTCAAACATCAAAACACTTTGACCGCTGGTGCTTGGAGTTCCCACGCTTGAATGGCCAGTGCTCGAATCGCGCTTGAACGCATTCAATTACACACACTGCGTTGCACCTTTCGTGACAATCTTTGGCAGCAACTGGGCGGCCTGCGCCAGTTGCGACAGCAATGATCATGTCACATGTCGCATGGCAGCCGTACAGTCACGACAGACATTATTCTCTGTTGACCAGGAGTTATTGCACACTGCGAGGAGCCGCAGTTTGCATCAACACTCAGCGGCGCCTTGGACCTGACCTCTGGCTCTGGATGAGTCATCAGGCGAGAGACCACGGCAACAGCAATCGGGTCGCCCTGTGCGACACCTGACGCGAGGAGTCAAGTCGCAGGCATCGGCTACAACGGGAAATCTCCCACCGAGCCAAGGATCAGCGATCACCCCCTGGATCCGGCCAAGACACACTGCGAGAGCTCGTCCAGAGCTGCTTGCACCCTGGAGGAGCAGGCAACTGCAGAGCGCGTAGACCACATGAGCCTGCTGGCAGCTTTCTCGTCCAAGTCGCCATTTCGACTGCGTCGACGAAGCCACGATCGTACCCCCTACCGCGGAGTCCAGTCGCATCAGCAGGAAATCCTTGGCTGCATCGCGCGGGAATACCTTCCGGCTTGAACAGCCTCTCAGCATACAAAATGTAGCTATCCAACCGCCTCCACATCATTCTGCTACGCTGGTAGATTACTCCACGGAATGCGTCGCTGCACTCTTAACTGAAGGAAGGCTCGCATCGAAGCTTGGCAGCTTTCTTCTTCTCCTTCCAGCCGTAATAAGAAGGGTAGGGTGTGCCTGTGCCTGGATACAAACTGTAGCTTGTGACTTGACAACAGAACTGCCTGCTTGCAAAAAGAATATGGGTAGTTCTCTAAATTAGGGTCCCTTTTTAGGTCCCAAATATAGTACGGCACCTTTATAAAAAAGGACCCTAAAAGGGACCCTAGTTTAGAGAACTACCCATATGATATCTCTGTACACAGCCTCTGCTTATGTCCTGTTTCCATTTCGAACCTTGAACCCTGAACCCTGAACTCTAAACCCTAAACTCTAACCCCTAAACCCTGAACCCTGAACTCTAAACCCTAAACTCTAAACCCTAAACCCTGAAACCTGAACCCTTTTCCACAGGCTTGAACTGAGCTCGCCCGGCCAGATCCCTCGCAGCACATCGCACTCGTGGCCTGAACCCTAAACCCTGAACCCTAAACTCTAAACACAGAAATACAGAATTCCAAACTATTCCGGGTTCCGGTTCGGGTTCCCATGGGGGGGTGACCAGAGACGAGAAAAGTTGCAGCGCCTAGCTTGCGAACTCTGGAATCAAATTTCGATCTTCGCAGCCTTGGTAGAAGCACTGGTAGAACCCAAACGGGCGGGTCCTCCTCTTTCGCGTTTGTAATGGACTCGAAGTGCTCCCCGATGTAGGGCAAAACCTAGTCACTGTGACATGATGGGCTGTCGCAAAGGCTACCGATGTAGCTCCAAGTGAGTTTTGCAATGCAAGTTCATTCCAAATGCCGAATCCTCGCCTTCTGTTCGAGTTCTTCGACCGTAACATTGCCATCTCCATCCACCTAAGCCAAGCAGAAGACGACTCAAGCCTCTGCTCAAACTGATGCTGCCAAATGTGCATCCCGCACCTGAAAGTTCTCGCGGATGAAATTCTCCATGGCCCTCGCGTGTAGTGGCAGCTGCACCGCGGCCACGGTGGCAAGCTCTGAAACGTCCAAGCGCCCTGTACCTGCAGTTGGCTTCGGTTGGCCTGCGTTGGTCGACTACTTGTTTTTGACTGCACTGCACCAGGCTCACAGAGACTAGCGGAGTTTAGAAGGCTTGCTACCGTGCGTGGGCCGCGCCTTTCCAGTCCAGAAACGCGATCAAGGCTTTCTGGTCACTCATGGAGGGCATACTCACGAAGCCATCCTGACCGCTCGGGGAACTTGCTGAGCCGTCATCGCTAGCCGGCAGTCAAGAAACAGAAAGTATCCGAGGCTCCACTTCTTGTCGTGTAGTCGGGCTTTGTCCCCAGGCGATCTTGAGATTGTCGAAGCAGCCGTCCTTCCAAGAAGGCTGAAACGCGAACTTTAGCCGAAACTGCACGCCTGTCCAAAATTTGCCTCGTCCATGCTAGGATGCTCTTCCAGACGTCTTGGTCCTTCAGCCGCTCCCCTGAAAATGCCCCCTTGTGGCTGAGCATCAACGTGAAGCAGCCTGCACGACGGCGCAATGCAGTTGCCGACAGTGAGCCCACCGAGAAGAAAGCACCAGCCTACGTGGTACAGGTCTCTCTCGATCCTCTTGCCCTGGTAGGTCAAAGCCCCCACCTCCTCGTGCAAACGAGGCGGGACTCATCACGATGCCAAACAATCGCCTACCGTACTGAATAAAACTGCCTGCAGCTATTGCTGTGCGGCGCAAGCCCACCCGCCCTGCTCTTCCTGGCCTGCGGCGATCGTCCCAGATCTTCGCAACAAATAGGACAATCCGCAGTCTCCTTGGGGCGCGGACAACTGCAGTGAACAAGAACAGCTCCGCTTGAGCTGTTCGAAACTCGTGTCTCACGCACGAGAAAGCCAGGCAGGGACCAGCGACAAGCTCATGTTTTGCAACCCTGGTATGTCTCACGTGCCAACAGTGCAGAGTCCCGATGTGTTGGACGGATCTGAGCAGATTTTGCAAAGGGTGGATACACCAACCTTGAGGCCTGCCACATACACCCTAAATTCCGTAGATTTCAGCTGCAGCTTGCCCTGCAAGAGAGATCGAGGCCAAAAACAACTTGTATATCGCAACAAGAAAACGTGTCAACAGCCCTGGACGCACTCCGGAAAGAGGGATTCTCGCTGACAGGTCCAACTTGCAGGATCTGGCTTTCGGCCTACAGTCCCGTGGCAGAAATGACAGTCACGCATGTCGATGTCTAACACCTCACGAAGCCAAAACAATAGCATGTGTGCTGAGATGCAACCCTATGAATGACCCTCCCCTTCATGTGCGTAGCTCTCGCTGTCAGACAGCTTACATGTACAACGCCATGAAGTTTTCAACACTGGCCGTGATGGGAAGACATCAGCGGGGAGGCCCCCCCCCCGTCTTGCCGCATGCCTCTTTCCCATACCGCGATCGCACATCGACAAGCCAACGACTGAGACAGAACTCAAGCAGAAAGAAGTTCGGCAAAATCGTTGCCTCCTTTGGCTGAAATAAAGTGGCATCACTACTGGGCGCTGACACGATATGTAGATCATACCCTGTGAAATCACGATCGACGACTGCCGACCAACAATCTCACACTTCACTGTTGCAACGAGCGTCTTTTTCAGTCTGCTTGCCCGCTTCAGTCCGCTTCTCGCCGAACGGAGGAGGCTCGGCCTCCTTGGTTACATAGTTGCTGTCGGAAGGAGCTAGAACACCACACTAGTGATAATGGATATCTGCATTCACCAGCTATACGTGCCAAGCTTCTAAACTGCTGTCGATCTCTGGTCGCCTTGCAGGTCTGTTTCTTTCAATTGTCAGCTTTCATTCCAAGCTGCACGAACATACCTAATCAGATCTACAACAGGCCCTGGCAACCTGTCTTGGTTGAACTTTCAACCGCATTGATCAGTCTTGCATGGTATGCACATGCAAGCTTCCAACAGCATGGAATGTAGCCAACGCTGAAGAGGTGGATTCTTGGGCGGTAACTCATCTGTTGCTACGGGCCAGTCTTCAATTGATACATAGCTTTAACACCAATTGTGTTGGCACTGGCTGTGTGATGCGTTCTTGCTTCCGGCGGTCCCCGCCCATGACACCCCCTGCTCGCCCGTACTACCAGTACTGCAGACCTGTCAAGATTCTGTGCTTGAACCGTTCGCCCGCCCCTGTTCCCCCTCCCAGCTCCCAGCTCCACAGAAAAGAACCGAACAGCGCGTTGTCATCCATTGTCTCACGGCAAAGGTTTCTGCAGGGGCATCGCATGGCATCACGTGTTTGCAATCAGCATGATGGATTTAAGTTTAAGCGTGTGATGCGTCCTGCCTTGGTGGCTGCTGCCGCTGCAGGGCATCGAACCTCAACGGCTTCACCGGCTCGTAACCTTCCGCGACACTACCATCATCCGACGTGGCATCCTTAGAAGCAAAGTCTCGGCAGCATGCACAAACATGGACATGGCTTGTTTAGCATCCACTCGACGTGAGTGTCACGCCTCACACGGCAAATACCCACTCGGAGTGCAAGCGGCGTGTAACGCACACTGCGCGAGGAGGATCCTCCGACAATTGCCTCGCGCAGCTTTAGGCACATCTCGATTCGGTGCTGGCTGGAGTCAGAGACAAGCCCTCACATGCCCTGACTGTGAGCCAATGGATGCAAACCATCTAGCGACGGAAACATCATGTAGCAGCACTGTTCGCCTCGCCTTGGGCAGCGTCATCAGACCGTCCCATGATGCAAGGAATTAACCAGCATTCATCTCTCCTATATGCCTCCTGTAGCGGAGGCTCTGGCTCTTGAGGTAGTGGCGCAGGTCAGATCTCACAGTGGCCAGCCCTTTTAGCTTTCGACGTGGACCTTTGGCACATTTGTGGGTAGAGTACGGGAAAGCAAGCCTTGCCGCACACCCACATAGCTGGCCTTTGCGCAATGCATTTGAACTATGACCTATGACGGCCCTCAGGCCCACAATATGTACAACAAACCAGCTTGAGGAAGCGCGCATCAGGGCATGGTCAGGAAACTGCCACAACCCGCAACAGCCCGCATGGCAGCGAAAAACAAACTGACGTCGTCGTATGTAATGCAAAATCGGCATACTTGAGAAACAGCCTAACACTGGGGGTTGGCTCGAACCTTTACGAAGAAGACGTTCTTCAGGCTGGCGAAGGCATGGAAGAGGTAGTTCTCGCTCTTCCAGAAGATTTGGCCGAGATGCTCGTAGTACATGGACCTGTTGCCCAACAAGCAAGTTGCAAGCCGACTCAATCCCGGCATGACCCGTCAAACCAAACAAAAATTCCACAGCCCCGATGAAGTCAACTGATCTGCATCCGGGTAGAACGACTAGCAGTGACGTTTGCCGGCCTAAGGTGTGGCTTCGGTCGCTGATTGACCTTCCCCCAATGCATGCATGTACAGGACCTGTGCAGAAACAGAACACTAACACAGCCTTTCCAAGAGCCGTCATGAGATCGCAGATCTCTGAGGAGGTGTTGTAAGCCTCACCTTGCGAACATATCAACTCTCCAACTCCCGATGACTTGTCCACAAGTTGGCAGACTGTCCCGGGGCTGCCACGCCAAAGGTCTAGCCTCAGTTGCAACTGCTAACTGAGAACGATGCCCACAAACAATAGACGGCACAAGACTCTGAAAAAGCTACTCTATGCGGAATGCAAAGGGGCATGGCCTGTACTGTAGCTGCACTGAAACTTTAAAGTTTAAAGTTTAAAGCTCAGCTTGGACCGCGGCTCTGTAGCAACTTGCATTTGACGGCAACGCCTCGGTATTGTAAGTTTTGCTGACGTGCCAGGTTTTCCCCGCAGCCCTGCACTGTGCTTTCTACACGTCCTACTTCCCATTCCCATGCGAAGCTCACGGCCTGGCCAAGTCTATCTGAATATAGGCTGGGGTCTGTGGCTCGTGAACTAGGAGGCCCGCGTCTCCAGAGTCTTCGTGATTGTGTCCACGTTGTTGGGCTGCACCTGATACCGTGTCGCCGATCAATCTGTGCATAGCGTACTACGGTCTGCCGCGACAACAAGCAAGAACACCACACTACTGCCATGTGCTTTGCTGGAGTTGATACAGGACAAGAACGACAGGTCACCGAGCCCATGTAGCGAAACCTTACTACATGGACCTGGATGCCTTAGAATCAACTTCAGATTTCTGGCGCACCGGATTCTGTCCAGCAGGACCGCTGCGCTTGCCAAGGTCCTGGCCGGTAGTCACAGAAGGACACATGATATGCTTATAATCGGAGACATGAGGGAACTGCTTCGCTATGATATGAGATCGCGGCACTGCCTCCCTCTGCATGACTTGGACACTGCAGGTCGAATCAGCACAAAATATCAAGGCGATTGCCTGGAAGTTCTTCCTGAGAATATCGCACAGGCGCTTGAACCTGTACTGCGGACCGCAACATCAGCACAGACGTGCTACCGACTCAATGGCTTGCCTTGTCTGACTTTGGCCGTTCGCCCGGTAATCACATCGAGTCTCTCCTACATCCTGAGTCCCTGGCTCCTGAGGCCTTGTGTTTGCGCGGCAGAACTCGAAAGCTTGTCGTGAAGTCTCATGATAGACCTGCTCGGAAGACTGGCGAAGCCAAGCAGACACGCATGCAAAAGAGAAAAGTTTCACGGGTTTGGAAACGCTTAGAGCTAATACTGCCTTGGCTGCATGTTCGAATTGAGGATTTCAGACCAAACATGTTGTGTTCCTCCCTTCTGCCTCTGTCAGAAATATGGCTTCCGGCAAGGGAGCAGGGATGATGCATGCAAACCAGCACCCTCTTGCAGCACATCTTTCGAAGCCCTCCCTAAGAGTGGCTTCCAGCGACTCGCAAGTTCAGGAGTTGTGGGCAGGGGCCCTCCTCCTTGGGGAGATCTATGCGGGTGTTCACGGTCCTCAGGGCATAAACTCAAAAGCACCAATCGCCCATCGATTGGAGCGAAGCCAAAATGGCTTATCAGCAGATGCTTGGTCAGACTGCAAATCCCCTTAGTGACGCTTAAACGCAACGACCCCCCCAAACCGTTCCCCCGAAGGTCGTGTGTGTGTGTGTGTACACATCAACGACTTCTACACCTGAGACTACTGCCTCAGCGACCCGAGGCTCATAAAAACGCTTGGCTTAATACAAAGTGCTTTGCGCAGCAAGGCACAAGCTAACCAGGATTCTGCAAACGTCTCGAAAAAGGACTCCCAAAATCCCTCGACCCAAACCATTGGAGCAAACTCAATCTGGCGTCTCGACTCGAGGGCCAAGACCATTCAATCTCCTGGTGTGTACGCAGCTAAGACACATACATTTTCCCGAAGGCAAAGGCACACCACAACAGCGCAAATCAGCTCGCTGAGCCCCAGAACCTTCTTCCTGAAATCTTCAGTCAAACACCCCACAAAGAGTGATCTTTGAGAGCAACATACACCAAAACACCTCAGCCTGTCAAGAATCTATGCTACCTGACACCCTCTTGGAGTCGACAAACCCGTAGCCCACCGAATCTCTTGGCTACAACACGAGCGGAAAAGCTGAAGAGCCTCCTCAAGTCGGCTGTTGGACTTCAGCACATCCAAGATCACCTTCCAACAGCGTACAAAAGCAGGAGCTTTGCCCCCCCGACACGACAGCGCAGCACAACGCAGCCAACACTCAAAAAACGGCTCTCCAGAAGCAACCCCAGACGCCGTGACAGTATTGAAGGCGTTCATGTTCCGGACTGACTGTCTGCAAAGCAGTTTGGGGCTCTCATGGATTTCCGGTGCTGGGGCTGACCCAATCCAGCGGTAGTCCACCAGGATGTTCTGACTATCTGAAACAGCAGAATGACATCTAGCTGCCTACTGTCGCCTGGTCGGCCAAAGCAAGGAATAATCGTTTGGCTTCTGGCCTGGGTGGAAAAGCTTCTGGCAGATGGTCGAAAACACTCGTTTTATATGAGGTTGCGAGGAACGCCGTGTTTTTGTCAGCTCACAGGTCACAGTTCGCGGCCTTGTAGGATTCCCATAGGAAACGGAAGTGGGTGTGCACATCCTTGTCCTGCCGAGATGTTACGAATCAAGCCCGGCCAGAGTCTGCAGGGCACAACATGGACTTTGGCAGCAGGCTTCCCACCCCCGGACCTGGCTCTGCTGGCGTGTGTCCCCTGCTTGGATGGCCTGGAGCAAGATGGTCTCGGGCCTCGGCGTTCTGTCATCTCTCTGGACAAGGGGCAACAGCGAGAGGAAAGCCTTTTTATCTCGTCTCTGCGACTCACGAAAGCCCGACGGTGTGTCTGCGCAGACAAGTTGAGTGATTTCACTCACAAAATTCGAGGATTAATCAGCGCTGGATGAACTGCATGGAGC